CTTGCCTTAGGAAAAAAAAACAGTGCTGCCTAACTGCGTAACCCTCATTCAACTCATTAAAGCCCTTTCCTCCTCATTTTCTCCCAACCATAACATCGGAAGTGCAGTGAGCGCTACAAAAACCCCCAAAGTGCCCGTCATCGCGCCCCACCCAAAACGATACTCGACGAACCCACCCCAAAGTGGTCCAAAGAATACTCCCGCAAATTGGCACATGCTCTGCAATCCAAACCCCTGCGCCACGGCACCCTTGGGCCCGAGTATTCCCGGATCCTTGAGCTCCATCGCCGTGAGTGCGCGCTGTGTCTCAACGTACATGGCTGGCGCACAGGCGTGGATGAAAATCCCGATAAAAAAGAGCAATGATACTAACAGTGCTATGTGTTCGTTCGACTTTGTCTGGGCGAACCTGAGACAGATGAGGCAGGGCGAGAGAGAAACGAAACAGCCGAAGGCTACGAAACGGGTACCGAACCTATCGGTGAAGCCGCCGAACAGCGGTTCGAAGAAGGCCGGGACGGCCATTGGGAGGAAGATTAGCCCCATGCCGAGGGCGTTCCAGCCGAATGTCGTTTCAACGAAGATGGGGAGGGTCTTGTTGTGATTAGCCAGTCCTTCGTGCTAAAGAAATCGAGCCTGGTACATACCGCATCAAAAGCAGAAAGCAAGATTCCCTGGGCGAGAAGCGCCCATGAAGAGATCAATACTCGGCGCTGTTTGAGCATCCGGAAGATAACGAACCCCTTCCTTCTCTGGATGACCTGTGGTTCGCGCGAACCGACAGAGGGAATACGCTGCGCCGTCTCCAGATCCGACTCCAAGTCTCCATTCAATTCTCCAGTCCATTGAACAGCGACCTTCTTCTCGATCAAAACCAGCCGCATGACCATGTCCAGCGCAAGAATAGGATACGCAAACCAGAACACGGCGTTATACCCACCAGAATTGTACACAACGCCTCCGAGGAACGGACCCAGCAAGAAGCCCGAGGCAATGGCGGAGCCAAGATACCCTATCGTTTGGCCGAGATGCTGCTGGGCCACAGCGTCGCCGATGAGAGCGAATGCCGCTACCACTACTAAAGCGCCTGCGATGCCTTGGAGTAGACGAGCCGCGACAAATGCAGCGATGGAACGCGCCAGCTGCAAGATCAGCATGCAGCCGGCTAATATGATCAGAGCACTGATGAAGGGTAGTCGACGTGTGCGTCCGCGGTCGACCAGGTAGCCGAATATGGGACACATTAATAGAGCCGTGCCTGCCTCCGACATAAGAAGGACACTAACCCAATACTCTCCTATTTAAAGGTGAGTATGGGATAATTTGTGGGGGAAAGGTGTCGGTGAGGACAGGAACAGGACATACGGTGCTCGAATTCGACTCCGGCTCGGGTTACGAGCGCTGTTGGCATCACGGGGACTATCTGTCGTTCGTTGATTCCATGTCCAATTCTCATTATGGAAGTGGGCTTTTGCTTACCATGGCGTAGAGGAGGAATTCCTTATTCCAATTGAGTCTCGGTCAGTTGCAGACTTATAAGACAAGGAAACTAGGCTCTCACATACTGTGAAGGTGGACATCCAGACTGCACCGATGATAAAACCCGTTGAGGAACGAAACTTCAATAGCCATGGAGCACGTTTTCCCCCTGAAGCTCTCTTGAGGTTTGATATACCGCCCATAATCATGATTATCGAAAAGTAACGAGGGGTTGTCTGCGAGATGCAAACAAAGGAGTTCCTCGCTAAATCGAATCGCTAATATAAATTTCGACTAGTATGGGGTCCGACTAATTGGAAATGCAGTCGAAGCTGAGAACAAAACCAAAAATTAGTCGAGTGCTAGACATAATAGGCAAGCGACGACTCTTTGTTGAACAAGGAAGAACCAAGAAACCCGTCAGCCCAGCTTTGACCGAGAACAGGATGGACCTCGCCCGCTTTTACTCATCGACACTTCACCCAATCGCGGGATATTGTGTTGATTGATAGGGCTTGGAAGCGCGCACTGCATGCAAAATTCGTCAGATCGACGTTGCAGACATACCACCACTGCCCAGATTCTGCGCATTGGCACCAACCACACCCTCCGATTCGACGATTGCAATCTAAGCCGGAGATCAGGCGTGCTTGGCATTCGTTTCAATTATTCACTCCGTGAATTGTTTATTCGGCCCAAAAAAAGTCCAATGTGCTATCTGGATCTGACATACATCTTATATACTGTCGTTCTGGGGCATGGGTCTTGTGGCTTGTTCCCACTGCTATTTGGACGGGTATTTGGAGTCCGGTATGTACGGGAGAGACTGCCACATAGTTAAATATCTTGGTTATTCCCTGCTTCAAGATGAAACTTTGCTTTGGTCGCGGGAGCAACGTGGTCGGCAGCGTGGCTGAGCAGGATGGTCTCGGGTAATATTTTCACTCACATGCAGGCGAATCAACTCCACCATGGCAATCGGTGTTGACCGCTAGGTTGGTCAGTGTGTTGGATGCTTGCACATGCTGTGACAGGATGGCTAGGCCACGCATTTTCCCTATGCGGTATGTAGGTACTCTCCTGTGCTCTGTTGGTATTGAGGCTCTTTCACTGCCGAGTTCCGGCGAAGATTCCAGCGTTAATTCTGGCGTTGTTGAACCAAAATAAGCGCCCTAAGGGTATTCGTGTTCCTTGGTGTAGGTTGTTTGGGAAGATATACTAGTTTCGTAGGTCTCATAGATACCAGATTTGCACGAGCAACCTGGCATACACCACGGAGGATACAGATACAGTCTACCGTGGACGATCGAAGTAGGACAGCCTTGATCCTGATATACCCTCGGTGTACTCCATGGAAAGTACACAGATGAACGACGGAGAACAAAACGCCATGATATCTCATCATCAAGGCGAGTCAACGTACAGACCGTGACGTCTTTCTCCCCGCACTGTGCCACCAGCGGCGAGGTCGCTGCGCATGTCTGTTGTGGCAGTTGTCAGCAGAGAGCATATCATGTCAGCGCTGAGTGTCAACTGCCAGAACTTCCACGTCTTTCACGGCTCGCACCTCGCCGAGAGTTCCCAGTGGAGTTCTCCGGGATGGTCATCGTAGTACGAAGCATAAGGGATTTGAATATAATAATTTAGGGGTTTGCAGTTGATGTTTGCGGAGTCGGAGGTCGGGATTCGGTAATTCGAGGAATGTGAGATGATCTCCACTGTATTGCACTCGGCTAGTGGCCCGAAAGTCTGGGGGAAAGGAACTTTTGTTTCCTTCTATCTACCCCTGTGTGATGGTGAGAGGTGGTTGGGAATGCCAATGCTAAACATCAGGCCATAGAGAGGAGAGCCGTCTAATCGCCAACTGATAAGATCGGGATTTGGGGGGCGGCCACTCGCGGCCATCGCGGCCATCGGAGGTGCCCGAAGCTCTCTTGATCAGCCATTCGGTGCATTCCAGATAAAATAAATACTGATCTCTCTTCTGCTGGATAATACAATTCTTTACCTTTCAGTATCCTCTACTACCCTTCTCTTCTACATTCCCAGGTTATCTCTCACATTCAAGATGAGCGCATTGGCAGCTGCCCGCTACGGCAAGGACAATGTCCGCGTGTGCAAGGTGCACCGCGATCCGAAGACTGGTGTCCAGACTGTCGTGGAGATGACCGTATGCGTCCTGCTAGAGGGCGATATTGAGACCTCGTCAGTCTAGCGACATCTCCCATCTCCAAAAAAGTTGAAGCTAACCAAGATCCCCACAGTTACACCAGAGCCGACAACAGCGTCGTTGTCGCAACCGACTCGATCAAGAACACCGTCTTCATTACAGCCAAGCAGAACCCCGTAACCCCACCGGAGCTCTTTGGCTCAATCCTGGGTACACACTTCATCGAGAAGTACAGCCACATCCACGCGGCGCATGTCAATATCGTGACCCACCGCTGGGTGCGCATGGACGTCGACGGCAAGCCGCACCCGCACTCGTTCATCAAGCCTGGCTCCGAGACGCGCAACGTGCAAGTAGACGTGATCGAGGGAAAGGGCATCGACATCAACTCCTCTATCAACGGCCTGACCGTGCTGAAGAGCACCGGCTCCCAGTTCTGGGGTTTCGTCCGCGACGAGTACACCACTCTCAAGGAGACCTGGGATCGTATTCTCAGCACCGATGTCGCGGCGAACTGGCAATGGCGCCGCTTCACTAGCCTCGCTGAGGTCAAGGCGCACTTTGAGAAGTTCACTGCTGCTTGGGAGACAGCCCGCGCCGTCACCCTCAAGACCTTTGCTGAGGATAACAGTGCCTCTGTCCAGGCGACTATGTATAAGATGGGAGAGCAGATTCTTGCTGCTGTGCCTCTGCTGGATACTGTTGAGTATGCGTTGCCTAATAATCACTTCTTCGAAATCGGTACGTTTGACCCTTTCCCCTTGAATCTTGGATTTGGGCTAATCTTTGCGCTTCTAGATCTCAGCTGGCACAAGGGCCTCAAGAACACCGGCAAGGACGCCGAGGTGTACGCGCCCCAATCCAACCCCAACGGTCTTATCAAGTGCACCGTTGGCCGCGCTGGCCAAAAGGCTAAGCTGTAAATGCTCCCTAGAGGATTGTCGGCGAGCTCCGACAGGGGCGCTAGCTTGTCTCCTCCCCTTCTCTTGTACATATAACTATCCATTTCTATACCTCTGGGACCAGACTCCCTCTATCTCGAATTCAACCCAGCACATCTCTTCCCAGAATAGAGCATTGTAGACAAGGTAGAAAAGCATCGTATAGTACGTGGTATTGTGATTGTATGTGCTATAAGTACATTTCAAAAGAACCGCAGGCTCGAAGGCTGAAAAGTCTGAGGCCAAGTAACGGAGTAGATAATCAAAAGCAATATCCCAAATGACTCCACACCCATGCGCTTTTGCGGTTGGATCATAACATCGCAGGAGAATAGAATACAAGCAGACACGGACCCGGTTTAGGTCGGTGTTGTAAAATGACGAAAGAAGGAGAGATGAAAAAGTATGCTTTATGCGCTTGGCTTGTCGGCGGCTTCTTTGAATGCTTCCTGCACTTCGGGGAGATTTCCAATCACCGATTGGTTGCCGAACTTGACAATATTCTCCTTGTAGGGGTGGGCGGCGCCTTCGAAAGCTGCACGATATCGGGTTAGACTGGGTTCAAAACATGAAGAAAGTAGATGGACTGAATGGACGGGTCCATGTCGTTCTCCGAAGATGAACCTGCCCGCAGGTGTATATCTCCATCGAGTAATCAAGTAACCCATCCAGGGAGCAGGAGCGCAGCAACCACGTAGCACTTACTCTTCAATCGAGCGAGGCGGACATCCTTCAGTCGGTTCTTAGGCAACATGCCCCTGACAGCGCGGCGCAGGACTTCACCACCACCCCATTTGGCAAACATCTGGTCCATCGTCATGCTCTTCAAGCTACCGGGCCGCGTCGTGTGCGTGTAGTACTTCTTCTGGAATCGCTTCTTTCCCGTTGTCTTGAGATCATGACATCCCACAACCACCACATAGTCACCACAGTCTGTTGAAGGGTCGTAGATGGGCTTGTTCTTGCCCATCAAAACGAGGGCGATCGACGAGGCGAGACGGCCGAGGGACCGTTCATCGGCGCCGGCGTCGACATAGTGCCATGTGCGCGAGTAGGCGAGACGGGTCTGATGTGTTAACGGTTAGAATTGACTTGATTGCTTGAATATAGGGTATGCGCGGTTGGCCCGGAAGGCTCCGCATTGAAGCTATTTACCTTGCCGACGAGTTGCGACATCTTGTTGACGTGGCGGAGGGCAGTATAAGTGCCGGGGTGAGGGGCAATTAGACAATTAATGGAGAGTGGAGAAGTTCAATTGAAAATCCCAGCAAGAACGACAGACTCAGCGCCTAAGTGCCCGAGATAATGATTATCTCAGCGTTTTCTGTATTGCTTCTAGCCTCGAATCCCCAACTGAAGTTCTCCGGGTCATGTGATCAAGCCCTAAGTCTCGTGCCACGCTAGTCCCAAAGTAGAATTAGTGTCGCACACTAAGCGAAACCCGCACGGAAGGGCAAATCACTGTGTATGGGAATTCAAGTGACTCTTTTTCCATCTCCCTCGACAACACACTCCCTCCCCCACGACAATCCACCATGGCTTCCGTCCCGAGTGTGCAATGCTTCGGCAAGAAGAAGACGGGTAAGCTCTCTTTTTTTCGACCGGAGATCAGCATGAACTGAACCCGTGCGCTGACATATTTAATTTTCAATAGCCACCGCTGTCGCCCACTGCAAGGTATGATGAACGCCTCTACCCCCTCGGTCCCAATACGTTGTTTCGAAATATCTGGAAGGAAAAGCGGTCAGAAAGGAATTGTGATTGAAATGAAGAACCGGGATCGAATTTTGGAAGGATGACCGAGACAACATGTTGCGCGATCATGGAGGTCATAAACACATTGAACTGGACAACATGCTGAGACATCTTACAGCAAGGCAAGGGCCTCGTCAAGGTTAACGGCCAGCCCCTCTCCCTGGTCCAGCCCGAGATCCTCCGCTTCAAGGTACGCACAATACATTCGCTGAACCAACTCCCGCGCGCCAGAAAAGAAAGGGATTCGCACGAATCGCAAGCGACAATGGCAATGGGAAAAGCCTCTCCGAAATCGGTTTCTGACAATCCACACTCGAATTTTTAGGTCTACGAGCCCCTCCTCATCGTCGGCGCTGACAAGTTCGCCGGTGTCGACATCCGTGTCCGCGTTACCGGTGGTGGTCACACTTCCCAGGTCTACGCCATCCGTCAGGCCATCGCCAAGTCCATTGTCGCCTACTACCAGAAGTACGTCGATGAGCACTCCAAGAACCAGCTGAAGCAGGCTCTTGCTCAGTACGACCGCACACTCCTGGTTGCCGACAACCGCCGTGCCGAGCCCAAGAAGTTCGGTGGTCGCGGTGCCCGCTCCCGCTACCAGAAGTCCTACCGTTAAATTTTTCTTTCTCACTTGTTACGCGGCGAAAGGAAAAAGAAAAGTTTACGGCAACAGGGAAATGGAATATGTCTGTCTTCATATGTTTTTTCTATCACGACTTATTTCCATGACTTCTTGGTGGACTGGGGACTTGGGAGGATTCGGGGATGTTTGAGCGGTTTATGTTCGGTTTAACCGCTCTTACATGAGATCAGAGGACCGGGCTAGAGGAATTTGGGAAAATGACCTCTGGTTGTTGTTCCGGTGCCTTGTTGATATGTTTTTCACTGGCGCTGTCCTGCACGGCTGGAAAAAATACCTAGCATAGCCAGGAAAATCTACTCAAATGATACTGGGTTTTATCTTGTTCAAATCTTTGTTTTCTGGGATCTTTGGGGTTATTTTAGCTACGGTGTTCTAACATTGGTCTCAGTTTTTCTCAGAGTTATGGTCTCCATACGCCAAACTTGGGCAGGTATATGCTCTTGAAGGTGACCACCGAGGTCCTCGCCCCTCTCCCATACTGGACCACATGTAGGATACATGGATCTAAATACATCCTGATAGCAAGTTTACCCCGGACATGGCCTACCTGTCCCTTGGATTTACTGCCAACATTGAAGCCTTTATCCAATTGACAATATTTCAATTTCTTGTCATAGCCAGATTATGTCGGCCATTTGAACCCTTACATACAAGAGAACAAAGTGGCACTTGCAGCAAATGTTGCCGCTCTCTTTCGACAGGTCTCTTGTCTCAAAACAGTTCGGGACTAGTCATCAGTCAGACATTGCCTTGTATAATCATTGATACCCTTGGGCGGTGAGCATACCATCTCATCTGAGTTGCATAAGCCCCAGCCATCACCAAAGTAGGTAAGTGCAATGTCTTCTCTCGACAAATCCTCGCTTCCTCAAATTCTCTTCTCTCCTCATTGGGCGTAGTATTGGATGGGGCAGGCAGTATGGGATCAGAGTAAGCTCTCTGTGGATTGAAAGGGTGGCTGTAAATGCTCTGACTGAAAGTGCACTTTCTGATACTGAACCGTTAGCGAAGTAAAAACAGACTGCCAATCATTTACCTGATCAACCCTCTGTGTTGAAACCTTGTATTCAACTCCTATCAGAGGTTTTTGATTTTCTCTTTCTGTGATGACCGTGCCACTCACTGCCTAGCCACTCGGATAGGAATAAGAACGTTAAAGTCATCATTTGGGAGTTTCAAGGCTCAACCACTTGGGGTATTTCTATTCAGAATGGCATGAGGCCGAACCATTACCAAAGGATAGGGCAATTGCCAACGTACCTTTCTCAATCGACCCTATGTTGTCGGGACCTTGTATTCATCTCGTGTCGGATGCTTTTCACTCAATGCCTATGCCAATGCATAGGCACTCACTTGAACGATTCAAGAATGGGTTTCGAGGCTCACCGATTCGATATGGACACATCCACTCGAGGTGATTTCATCTAAAAGCGCATAATTAACAACCACAAAAATGCAGGGGAATGGAAAACTTGCGTTTGTTCATCTCAGCACTGAAGTACAGGCCTGTTCTTACCTGAGATATAAAAGTCCACTGCGGCCAAAACATAGAGAAATTGTAGACCTGCCTTTCGAGAGATCAATCCTCTGTAGCGGAAACCTTGTGTATCTCGTATCAGACGTTCTTTTCAATTCCATTGGAGCCCATGCCAATGCGTAGCCATCGCGGAAACCGAAACTGAAACCATCATCACATAGGAGTTTTCAAGGTCTATCCACTTGGGAAGATTCTCTCAAAACTCAAGATTAACATTCATGAAAAAAGGAGGAATGGAAAACTTGTCTTTCCTTATGTATCTCAGCCATCACTGAAGTATAGGCGAGGCCTCATCCAAGTATGAGTCCGGGAAGGTTGCTAAAAGTCCATGGTTAACGATCAATAGGTTAGGGGAACAGAAAACTTGCCCCCCTCCTTTAATCTCAACGGTTCTTAAAGCATACGTTTGTTTTGACCTAAAATGTTATCATAAAGCATGTGGTGGTTGTAAACGTGCTGTCTTGATATTAGTGAGCGTCGAGTTCTTGCGTCAGGTACACTTTCTCTATTCGTTGCCTTGTCAAGGTACCGAATAGAGAAGGCATAAGGAATCATCATTCGCGAGCTTTGGGCCTTGTCCCTCAGTATGTCTATAGTCACTGCACGAGTATGTCGAGTCGCGGAAGCGAGAAGTGCGAAACGTACCTAGGCAATTGGAAAAGTCAGTGACGGACATTCAACTCAACCACATGAGTCTCGGGGTCAATTGGGAAAACAAGCTCTCTTCTTTGCTTTGTATAACCTGAATATTGAATTTCAGGACCAGAGAACTGGCAAATGAGAAGCAAAAGTGTTGCAGTGATCTGGATCAACACTCTTGATCGGGGTAATTAGCCTCGCATCAGACTGTTCTTACCATTTCTTGTCCTCAAATTCCACACTGAGAGTGTAGACTAGGAAGTAGCTCGTAGTGTAATATAAGATTGTCATCATTTTGCGGGCTTCAGCCGTTCTTGGGCGATAAAGGGCTGTGTCAACTCATACCTGAACAGGAAATTAGCAATCTAAAGGGATGCATTGCAACGATTAGCAGAAACCCCAATGTAAATGCGAGGAGCAAGGTGCCATACATTGAGGATATTGGCATTTTCATCTTCGGTCCCATAACAGCCAGAGAGCTGCATATCAATACCGGGAGTTGGGATCGGTTGCCAAGGATTTCGTCGGAATCAACACTTTGATTTGTCGCACCACAGACAGACAGATGTAGCCCTCTGGGCCATCGAAATCCGGAATGTTCAAGTTCCCAATTGGAAGTCTTTGAATTCCCTAAATATTAGCATCAAGCCATATCTGCATGTGCATAAAAACGAAATCCTTTGGTCTGGAAGTGTGAACCCAAAGACCCAATGTGGAATTGGATCGTAACAACATGTGAGTCAGTCATGTAGATCGAGTATTGTTTCTTCAACTCGTACCGGTGTCAAATTTGATTGTGTCCTTGACCTCTCGAAATATCTAGGCTCATCTTCGAATTATGGTCCTTGTAATTTGTGCTTTCAGATGATTAGAGTCATAGCGATTGAGAGTGAAATAAGATAATCTAGACATCATGAATGTTAGACAAAAGAAAATTAACTTAACAAGTAGATAAATGCTGCATGATCAGTCAAGGAAATAATGTATTCTTTTTCGCCTGGTCTCAGATGTGCTAGGAACCTATCACTGAGCCCATTGGTTCCAATGCTCCACGGTCACTCAAAGTATAGTATCGTTTTCTTATCCACAAACCTTCTTTCTGCGGCACCGATATCAATTGTGCTTGTGTGGTTGGAAGGAGGATCATACCTTAACAAGCCTAGAATATCTCGAGATTGTTAGCGCGGACTCCCAGTATCAAGGCAGAATAACGCCCATAAAACCAGCCAAGGAATGGAATATCCTTCATTTCGCATCGTATCAGAGTCCTTTTTGGTTCTTTCATTGTGTCCAATGACATTGTCATCGGCAGGCCATAGTCACTTTCAAGGTGTATATTCTCATCATAACATCCGCTTTCGGGTCCACCGAGTACCGATTGTGCTTGTGTAATGCGGGGGAATTCATCGAGTGGGTGAACATGGAATGCTTACCTAGGTATCTTGAGAGTGTTAGCAATAACATTCGAACCTTCTTCCATAGTACGAACACCTTGACATCAAACTAGACACTCTTTTGCCTTGACGCGAATCAGCTTGATCTTTTAACTTCCATCGAAAGTCTTGCCTTAGCCCATTGGCCTCGGTAGCTCGAGCCATACCT